ACTCCATTAAAACAAACACAATGTGAAATTCAGTTTTTGTAAATTCGTATTTTGTAGTATAAGGGATACCAATTTCACCATGACGCACATTTTAGGCGATTTACGTTAACTGTTACAGTGGATCACAGTGACCCAGTTGCAGGTATATTTTTTCAGATTCATGCAAATAATAGTATTTCCAATCCAATAAATAACAACACAGCTCATTGTTAATCACCCGACCTTCACCTCCAAGAAATAACCAATGATGTATAATATGTACAAGTTGGCGTATGACGTCACAACCGGTGATCAACTTTTACAAAATGGCGTGTCCTCTGACATCATTATGCGAGATTTTACTAGGGGAATTTCATTTATTAAGGGATCGATAATACATAAATGTGCCTTATAAGGCACGTCTGGTTTTCATTTGAATGCAATCACAATCTTACAGCAAGTGAACTGCGAAAACATGACATACATGTGCAACATCACGTGTTCATTTGAATGCCATTACAATCATGACACAACGTATCCTAAGCAGACTCGGCCGACCACGTATCACTACTAGAGCCACCACGGTCACCTGACTAAATCAATTCTTGATATCTACCCGTGAAGATCTGCGTTATTATTATTAAAGGTCTTCAATAACCCATGCATATCGTAAAGAGGCGACTAACGGGATCAAGTGGTCGGGCTCGCTGACTTGGTTCATGCATGTCATCGGTCCCAATTGCGTGGATCGATGCTTATGATATTATCACTCGATTGTCTGGTCGAGATTGCATTAATTACAGACCGTCGGCTTAAAATTGGAATGTTGCTGAGTGCGGCGTTAAACAATAAAGAAACATTACCAGATATAAGAAATTCGAATCATAACTTTGGTATATCAATGTGATTTCTTGGATGTACTACAACATATAAGCTGCATGTACCAGACAACAATATTGTTGCCTCACATGTCTAGCATGTATTTAAGTTGATGGATATATTTCTTTGAGCTTGTTTGTGAATTATTCCACCATGACTACGTGAAATACTCGAATTTGATTTGACAATCCATAACATTTGACATAATCAATTTGGATTGAAAATAATGCGTCTGATTTTATGACCGTTTCACTGCACAGTCTCACTGCTTGAGTTTGACCATCAACACGGCTGAAATCAATACAACATACGTAATGGGTTTCGGATTTGTTTTAATTCTGCATTTTTTTCCATATGTGGTTCGAACTTGGCATAATTCAGTGATGATGAGCTTACCTCTATCGTAGCCAATTTAACCAGTTCAGGTAAATTAAGCCCAGAAATTTTAGCATCATAAAACAATGTGAAAATACATAAATCGAATGAAAATATCGTCTTCTTTCAAATGTCTTTGTGAATATTTCATTACAAGGTAACAAAAGTACATAATCTTTTTCCACCTCATTTAAAAAAACGCTACACGTTCGGTTTCAACTAAATCTAGAGACCATTAGTTCGGTCTAACATAAATGGAAATTTTAAACACTGTACGTTTATCTCCTAATTATTTAGGCGAGAAAGCTGTGCCAATTATGACAAATTGGTTTTGACGTTTAAAGATAGATGTGTAAGTATTTCTATGATACCACATTTATCAATATAATATGCCGCCCTAGATCAAAGAATACGTTTTTCCTTTTTCCTGATTTAGTTGTGTTGAATAGTGGTGTACCATCATGTTTAGACAGAATGAAACATTTCTGCGATTCAAAAACATTAAAGCAGATTCTTTGTTTCATTTTATATAAAATATGGCAGGATGGGGGTGGCTCTTCCTTAAAACAATTGGCAAAAATATATACATCACTACGATTGTGCTTTCACTCTTTCCCCACTCTTCCCAGCAAGACCTCGATGGCAGAAATCAGTAGAGGGTTGAGAATCATTACAAAGGTGCCATACAGAGTGTACAGGTTAGCATCCCAGTAACGTGGAATGTCACATCAAGAGCAGGCTGCAGTGTGCACTCAACCTCACCTTTTTGTCACAGAGCAAACGCGTTTTTACCTCATAATTCATCCCTCATTTTCTGTAAATGTTGCATCTACGCTTGTTTGAAAAACAATTGAGAACAAGAGAAAAATATAATATTCTTATTCTGATGGTGATCCTGTTATTCGTTTGAATCTGTTAGCGACAAAATATGCAAACAGACTCGAGTTTGTTTGAAGCACTTTGACCTGTTGCAGATGCCAATGTCCACTTCATCTAACGAAAGACTGGAGCGATGGGGTAGCTTAGTGGTTAAAGCGTTCTCTCGTTACGCCGAAGATCCGGTTCGATTACCCTCATGGGTACAATGTGTGAAGCCCATTTATGGTGTCCCCCGCCGTGATAGACTAACGTGTTTGTATGTGTTGATGTCAAGCATATTTTTGTTGTTATTTTTGGCTACATTTTTTGACCAAGTGAATTCAAATGATTGTATTTCAAAAAATTAAACTACAGCATATGTGTCACCACGACTGATTGCTTGATATCAGTGGAACGATATTCATCATTTTTACCCCAGTCTCTAGGTCAGCCACTGTGTTGGCCAAGCCACGTGGGTTCTCAAAGTACTAGTATAGATTCAAGGTCACAGAAATGGATAACAAACTCAGGCCAAACCCTGCAGTGTGACTGAAAATGACACAGCATAGATTTTAAAACCGATTCAAAGAGGAAACAACACATAATTTAACAAGGTTACTCAATTGGTTAATCAGACTAATGATTTAGACATTCTAGACAAGAACCTCAAGGATTAAGAAAAAGTTTCTTTATGATTGGTATATAGGAAAGAAAAGTACTGATTATGAGGTTTACTTACATCAGACTCCATCTTGTAACTGCAGTTCTTCTTTGTCGCACCTCTTAATTTGCATATTGAAGTGGCACCCTATTATAAACAAATGAACCTTGAACAAAAGATTTGAATTATTAGAAGTGTTAATGAGTTTTAGGTGTATGAGTCATCTTTGACTTGTTGCGATGTCCAAATTGAAAAGCAGGGGTTAACCCAGAAATTGGTTTGGACAGATGTATATTGTAAAATGATTTATTGATGAGAACAGATCAAGGAATACTCAATAAAATCTAATTAATTTAAGCTTTGCAACAAAAGAGTAATAAAGGCTGCACCAGTCTGTAACAAGAGTGGCGTTAAACAACATTCGTATTTCCACTCACATATATTTAGATCGTTTACGTTTCCTTCTGTGAGTAGTGATCTATGCCATGATGACTTCATCCGAAAATGTGTCCAGTATTGTACCAGACCCCCGAAATATGCACTTAGTCTGTTACAGCAGTGGCGTTTTAAAAAATATTGGATTAGTGATTTAAGCTGATTGAAGGTCAAATTCTCCTTATTGACAAAAACAATAACTTGTGGCCATGTTGAATGTGATCACTTGACGATAGCTTTAAGCTTTATGAATAGAAGATTTTACTTCATTTTTGAAGAAAATATATATCTTATAGAAAACCTTTTTCGACGGCATTCACATCATGTATATGTTTGGTTTGTTTGTTGTTTAACGCCTTACTGAGGAATATTCCAGCTGTATGACGGCGGTCCGTAAATAATCAAGTTCGGACCAGACAGTCTTGTGATTGACATCATGAGCATCGATCCACGCAATTGGGATACGATGACATGCATCAACCAAGTCAGCGAGCCTGACCAACCGATCCCGTTAGTCGCCTCTTACGACAAGCATAGTCGCCTTTTACGGCAAACATAATATCTCTACTTCACTCATTTGTACTCACGTCATTCAAACCCGTCACACGATTGTCCTTTCAATTATTTCTTCCTACTATTACTTCCAATATAATCTATCATATAATTTCATCCCTCCTTTTATAACAAAAGACACTGATTAACTGAGACTGTAAACAGTAGTATGGTTACAACAAGACACCTTATCCGCCGTCTATCCGTGGGTAAGCTGGTTTAGAGAAGTAGAAAGTTAAACAGCTGAGGACAGGATCTTGGAACTTGCGGAGACTGTGTTAGGTCATGATCGGTTCTGGACCAGCCAATGCAGTGAGTGAAATCATCAGTTGCATCCCATGCGGTTGGTGTACAATGACCCTCGACCAGTCAATGCAGTGAGTGAAATCATGAGTTACATCCCAGGCGGTTGGTGTACAATGACTCAACCAGCCAATGCAGTGAGTGAAACCATGAGTTGCATCCCATGCGGTTGGTGTACAATGACCCTCGACCAGCCAAAGCAGTGAGTGAAATCATGAGTTACATCCCAGGCGGTTGGTGTACAATGACCCACGACCAGCCAAAGCAGTGAGTGAAATCATGAGTTGCATCCCATGCGGTTGGTGTACAATGACCCACGACCAGGCAAATAACAGAGCCCGATCCAGTTCGTAGTAAGAAATTAATACATACCTTTGCATAAGACATAGTTATTATATGTAGGAGTGTATAAACATACAAGAAGATAGTTTGTTGGAATGTCACTTCCCCGCTTTTAGTATCCTCACACTAAAGGAAAAAAATAACATTTGCAGGAAACTATATACCAGTATATACCCAGGCATTTCGCTCCCGGCGGCTTGATGATAATATAAAATGAGACACATATAATCAGAGAGTCTGGGAATAGTTAGCAATATGCCACCATGTCACGATCGGGGACATCTCAGACGGACTTCACACCCTTGGGAGGAAAGAAGCCCTGAGTTCTGTGAAAGCTTCAAACACTGGACTATCCTGACGCTCGCCATTGATCAGAATGTGGGCACATTTGTTACTCAATACACTGCGACAGGCGTCAACTGGGACCATCGAATTTACTTTGCTGCATTAATTGAAACGGTTAATTTTAAACATAGGAGGTAGTTTTTTAGTAGTCACATCAGAACGTCGGGATTGGTATGAACTTGTACAAATACGAAAATGTATTACATTTCTCTGACTAAATACAAACTAACAATATCTAAAAAAACCATTTGAAGAACATATTGTCATATCCTCAGTGCCTTGTATTCATCACATAGAAAATATTGTCAGAGACACGTTCTTCTACTTGGTAAGATTTGTGTGACAGTTCTGACTTCCGGCAGGTGCGTGAGACTTCAAACACGAGGATGATAGCGCCCCCTATAGAGAACAAACTTCCGGCAACGTAGAAGGAAGTGGCATAGTTTCCGGTGACATCGTACAACCAGCCTGAAAGGTAATGGCATCATGGTGTGAATGTCACAACTGTTCATATCCTGATTACTGGTACTATATGGAGCCCAGTAATGAAGTTGAGGACGCACTGTAAAAGTCGCATTCAGTACTGTGAGTATTGTTTTACGACGCTTATAAAAATATTCTAGCAATACCGTGGAGTGGGACACCAGACAAAAAAAACCGCGCATCGGTTCGATCAGCAATTGGCTTGTAACAAACTAAAGACATGTCCATTCCTCGTTTGTACTGGACTCCAAAGCTACAATGAAATCCATTCAAGGAAAGACACATTGCTTCATCCAGCAAATGCACCACCAAATCCCTGTGTGAAAGATAATTCATTAAATTCCGTGAATACAAAGAACGATCTTGCTTGATTGCATTAAATCAAGCAAGATCGTTCTTTGTATTCACGGAAAGTATCTAAGACGAATGGAATTGATAACAAATGTGTTCTTGCAGAAACAAAAGCAAATAATACTGGTTCTGACAAAACATTTGACTTTTCAAATTTGTACACCACTATCCCACAGCATAACCTTAAAGGAGACACTTCATTCGTTGACCAGTGGGTAATTTTTTACAAAATGTGGTAAACCATAGATTTAGTTACATATCTATATTCAAGGGTTGGGGACAATTTGTCCAAAAAAGAAAGCTCCCCTCACTGTTGATACGTTTATTTATGGATTTGCTTTGGAAATTATGCTATGAATGACAAAATCAATATACAGGCTTTTGGCCAAGAAGTTTAACTTCACCCTCAGGTACAATGTTAATCGATGATCAGACTGTATGTTTCATTGACTGTTGTTTGCCACAACACTCAGCACTATTCCAGTCATATGACGGCGGTCTGTAAATAATCGAGCCTGGACAAGGCAATCCAGTGATTAACCTCATGAGCCTCGATCTACACACCTGGGAAAGGATGACAGGCATCATACAAGTCAGCAAGCCTGAAAAACACGTGGTGTTGAAGATCCATTCTGACCCAGATCTTCATGGGGTGATCTGATATACATTGTAGTTCCATAACGGTCAAATATCCAAATATGTGTCGCGGATTTACCCACCTGAACCAGAAATGAAAAGATCAATGAAACCGTCTCATCCATCTGTTTTATATTTCAATAATAAATATAAAAATATAAATTATTCGTTCCTTTGTATATGCACACATTTGCAGGATGATCTGGGTTTTTTTACATTAAAGTACATTAGTACGTAAATAAGCCATTATTGTAGAGTTTTCGGATCTTATGGGTGGAGCAGAGCAGAGCAGAGCGGCGCAGAGCATATACTCACCAGCAAGTGGGGTACCCAGGAGGACACTTATTCCTTGAAACCCAAACATAAGGCCGATTCCTTCACTGAGTTTTTCCATTCCATGAATATCTGCCACGGAAACTGCTTGTAGGTACGTCCATACACCTGCACACAGAGATCCGGGTACATCTACAGTGAGTATAGTGGGTACATGTATGTAATTTTCATTTGTTACTCGTGGATAGAAAATAGATGCTTCCGCACAACATGCTTGTATTTTGGAAATATACAAAACCCTAAATAATTCATCATACAAAATGAGGTACTAAATGATGAATGGATGTGTGGGTATTGGTATATTGATATTGACATGTCCTTGATTTTGACATGTCCATAATTCTGACATGTCCTTGATTTTGACATGTCCTTAATACTGACATGTCCTTGATTTTGACATGTCCATGATTTTGACAGGTCCATGATTCTGGCATGTCCATGATTCTGACATGTCCATGATTTTGTGCAGCAGCTTCAGATCATGCGCAGGACATGCCAACAAGTGTACACGTATATTGAACTGATTGTGTGTTGAAGTGTGTGTTTGTTGTCTGATACAACACTCATTCATTCACCATCTTCATGACGGCGGCATATAAATAAACGACTCTGGATCAGAAAATCTACTAATGAATAGGATCCTCGAAGTCGGGATACCATGTGACGCCGTCAAACAAGGCACCAGACCTAACCACCTGATGAATTAAGACGCCTCTTGCGACCATCACAATTCAACAGTGACCAATTTTAGCCGGAATCCCCATGGAGTACATGACGTTATAAATAAATCAACGTTTGGGTATTGCCATTGTTATCATATTATTTCATGGGGTCTTCAGCTGTGTTTACCTAACTCCAAACTTTCCTATGAATGCATACCTGTAAATAATCCATAAACCACTGAGTAAGCCAGCAAGGTTTCAAAATGAAGCAACTGTGGACAGATCAAGGTAGCGACTCCACACAGCGCACTGGCGGCGCCAAGGAAAGCCACTCTGTTGACACGTGACATGTCGGTTACACGACCAAATATCAGGCGTCCTGCTATGCTGGATATACCAATGGTTGATATCAACCACGTGTACCTCTCCTCCGGGATATCCATGCCATTCGCCAGGTCTGGAAGAAGGTTGAAAGGGATGAAGTAGGCCTGAATTCCCAGGGTAACACCGATGACGACGACGGTGTATCTGACGTTGATGAACACGGAGAAGGCAGGCTTTACCTTATTCCAGATTCCAGTAGCCTCAACTTTATCACAATAAAGAATTTATTTAGTTTTTAATTTTCTGAACAAGGAAATTCAAATGATCGAATTGCAAACAATTTCAAATGCTGCCACCACGATTTTTGTAATCTATTAACTTACTTAACTTTTCTTCTTTTTTTTAAGTGAAATGTTCATGCGCTTTGGACCCAGATTTGCAGATTTGAAAAAGAAGCCATATGTTTTTCAGGTAGACGTGGTACCATTGGTTAATCGTTGCTAATATTTTCAGTCAATTGGTTCAGATTGTAATAATCAGTTGTATGTGGAAAACCATTTGGAAGAAGTACTAAAGTACAGTATTAGGCATGATGTTGCTGCCTTAAACAATAGTCCAGGCTTGTCTCAGTATCGGGGACAAACATCGTGGCCCCTGGGGAAATGAACGCTGCCTGGCTATCTCACCGCCTACCGAAGATCAGAATTAAGGCATATCCGTAATTCCGTACACTGCAAACTGCATCACCTGGTACCATTGTGTAAACTGTGCTGCAGTACAACTCCAAGTATCACTTAAGAAGATACACATACCAGCGGATTTCACAACTCATACTCATAATTTCTGATGAATTAAACGTGAAATGTGTGTTACTTAATTATCTGGTTGTTTCCAAAGAGGTCTTTCTTAAATAATTGTCATGCACATAAGTATACATTCACAGAATATAAATATTAAACAATATTATCAACAACAAAATCTTCGAAACCCACGCCAAGAAGCGCAGCAAATGGTGGCTTCCATATCATTTATTTATCCGTATTTCTTCTATTTATTTGTATATAAAGGATAACCACATATAATTATCAACTCGAATTGCCTGTGTTTACATTACCTGAATTCTTTGATTCGGTTGACATGTCACTGAGTTCCTGCCTGGTGTAAAACGGCCTGAAAAGTGCCCCAAACACTGCACAGTTGAGGACAAGCCCACCTGTAATCAACAACGCCCCTCGCCAGGTGTATTCTGAGATCATCATCTGTAGGAGGGGAACAATGGCCATCGTCCCTACCCCCGACCCTATGTTAGCCACTGCATTGGCCAAGCTCCGTCGTTTCTCAAAGTACTGGTTTAGAGTCAGGGTGGCAGACAGGAATAGCAAACTGAAGCCAAACCCTGCAGAATGACAAAGAAAGTTAACATCAAAATTATACACATTTAATACCCATTAAAACAAGAACCAATTCCTAAATTAATAAGTTTAATCTGTTGGATAAAGAAAGCTTAATGAATACGTACGTTTGTTTACCATAGTTGTCATTTTGGGAACATTAAATACCTCAGTAATATATGATAAATATTAAAGTACTGATTATGAAGAATTACTACAACTGCTGCTGCTTCTACTACCAATACTACCAATGCTGCTGATAATAATAAATGTTGTAGAGTATGAGTAACAATTCTAGATGCTGCGTTTTGCAGCAATCCGATGCAGTTGTGCTGGTAAGGATGGTGAAAAGTTGACAGAAAGGGAGATGCAGTAGTCAAGTCTTTATGTCACTAGTGTTTCGATACGGAGCTTGGTAGTCTCAGTCCTGAAGGTCGTGACTTTTGAAGACGTAATGAATTTTAAAGAAGCATGATTTAGATACTTAGTTAACAGACATGCTTTTTTCTAAGTTTGGATAGAACACCTCGGTTTCGAACACAAGATGATATGGTAACTTCACTATCTCCAATCTGGTGAGCCAGACTTGGAGGGGACTTGAGAAGTTGTTGTCTCGAACCAAATTTCAGGAATTCTGTGTTACTGTTTCTGGAGATTTAGATAGTTGATTGCCATCCATGTTTTCACTTCCTTCATAGAAGGATCGATCCGCTAAATATCAGTATGTGTCTTTGATGGTTCAGTAGAGAACACCTGGTTGTTGTTCGCCTACACATGGAAATCTAGATGGTGTTTCTGCTTGAAATATTTGATAGGTAAGATGTAAATGGTGAACGTGAAGAGACCTAGAACCGATCCCCGGGGAACTCCAATGGCTACAGATGTAGATTTGGAAAACGGGCTTGATATTGCGATGAATTGTGAGCGGTCAGAGAAATATGATTTTATCCAGGCAAGCGCCTATTTCGTAATAAACACGAACAAGTGCAGTTTACCTCCTGTGTTTGGTCTTTTAGCGATTGGAAGGGTTATTGCTCAAATCATTTGTTTGCCTGGAGGATTTCAATGGGCATCACGTTTGAGAAGTTTATTTACAAAGGTAACTGCTCCAAGGAATTGCCACTCTTCCCTTCAAAGCAGCTGCGTATGAATGTCTGAAGGTTTGTGTACATCTGTTCACTTTCAACTTTAACGAGTACCACCGTTTCTCTGTTGCATAACAAATCGTTTTATTAACCTCATCACTGCACCATGAGGATCGAGGTCGGATCACAATACATCTTGATTTCAATGCGGCATGTGTATCCAATATGTTAAGTAGTGTTCGTTTGACTACGTCTGCTTTAGCATTGACATAAGCCATATTGGATAAATATTACCACATATTAGAATATTCCTTTGAGAAAAAATGCAATCAAAATATCAGATATTCTAACAACCCATCAACCCTCCAAAAGTACATGTTTTAATGACTACACAATGAATAGGATCATCAAGCTTTAACAAACTATTGGAATTCTTAATGACAGGTGTAAGGGTCACCTCAGGTGTTAGACATAATTATGTTTTTTTTATTGTGGTGTTAAAGTTGCATATTTCCCACGCACTCTGTTAACCGTGACTTGGTACATGTATAATTGTCTTTTTGCATCGTGGATACAAAAGCCATTCCAATATCGTATTGTTTCTTTCATTCTCACCTTGGAGGACTCCGTAACTAAGATACAGGAAGAGCAGACTGTCAGCCAGGAAACTGACACTGCAGCCACAACAAGCCAACACAGCCCCCATTATTGCTGTCCATCGTGTGCCTAACTTTCTCAGGATGAACACATCCATGGGTCCTGCAAAAGGACCAATAATAAAGGTATGTTTCATAATAAATTAAGTTGGTTGGTTTGTTTGTTTGTTGTTTTACGTCGCACTCAGCAATATTCCAGCTATATGACGGCGATCTGTAAATAATCGAGTCTGGACCAGACAATCCAGTGATTAATATCATGAGCATCGATCCACGCAATTGGGATTGATGACATGCATCAACCAAGTCAGCGAGCCTGACCACCCGATCCCGTTAGTCGCCTTTTACGACAAGCATAGTCGCCTTTTACGGCAAGAATGGGTTGATGAAGACCTATTCTACCCCGGATCTTAACGGGAATAAATTAAGTACACAAAAACTAACATCTACAAGGATACGTATTAGGATAGGAGTATTGGTGATCCCTCATGTATGATAAATAGATACTGGACAAGAATGATAAGAAAAAGTAGTTAAAGCCTGCATGGGCAGTAGAATTGTGAGTTAAACGTCACTCTTAATTATCTACCGAAACCGATTCCATTGGGTGTACAAGGCAAAACAGAAGTGCATAAAAAATAAGAATGGAGGAAACGTGCGGTGCACATTATGGTAATATAGACCTTGTGTCTTACCAAACAAGAACATAAGGCCGCTAAGAAGAGATCCAATCCATGCGGTGTTACCATGCAAACTTCCAAAATGTTCAATCAATTCAATGAATATTAAACCAAACGAGTGAAGTACGCCAAACAGGATGAAACGTATGCAGAATGTCCCAAGCAAACACATCCAGGCCCATCCTGTGTCCTTCTGGCGAGCCATGTCTGTTGGACAAGAAGAGGAAAATTGTCAGGTTTGTTGATCATGTGAATTTAATGGAACTTCGTTAATAACTTCATTGTGATCACTACACGAATCACCCGTGAAGATCCGGGTTAGAATTAATCTCCAGCAACACTTGCTTGTCGTAACGGGATTGGGAGGTCAGGCTCGCTCAATTGGTTCATGCATGTATTAAATCAATCAGATGGAAATCGATTGTCATGATATCAGTAAATGGAGTGCCTGGTCCAGACTTGATTCTTTACAGGCCACCGAAATATAGCTGGAAAATTGCTGAATGCGGTATTCAACAAAAACCAAACAAATAAACCACACGTATCCCACGTGTATAAATATGACCCTCAAGATATTATACAGTATGAGTCATAATTATTGAGAATTGAAAAATCTTCAAAACTGTAAACATTAAACAAAATCCCCATCCCTGAAACGGAATGACATTTTGTCCACATCTCAATTTTGGTAGGATACACCCATACAGAGCTCTCATCTGTGAAAATAACACTGTTCCAGTCAAAGTATTCATGCGCCAAACACAACTCTACACGTCTATCCTTGTGTTCTTGTTTCAAGAGCGGAGAGGCAATTCCTTTTTTTTTCCAATCCAAGTTCAATCAAATTTCTTCTTACTGTAGATTTGGATACATTTACTGTCCCTCTATTTACCATTTCATGTTGGATATTTGAGATACTCGCCCCTCTGTTTTTCAAAGCCAAAATACCCAGTCTCACACGATCACCAAACACCAGTTTTAGAGGTCTCCCCGCTCCTTTTCCGTGCTCAATTCCTGAACCATTCTCAATATTCTTCTTAACTCTATACACTGTAGAAAGAGAAGTATATGTGTTCTTTGCTAATGTAAGCAGTATCAGTGATGCCTTCATCATGGAGCTGTAGAAACAACCTTCTTTTCTCCTCTGCACTCATTTCTGACATATATCAGGAAAAGTCGTCTGCTCCTTAATCAAGGGAGATAACTCTAATTTGCTACTTCTAAAATTGAAGAAGAGTTGCTTCCCTTTGACCATACCTCAATTTTAAACACGTGTCAATATTGATATTTTATGTATGCTTCCTTGAATATGACATTAAAATACACAATAATTTTGAACCAGACTATACCCTCCAAAAAGGTAGGGTATCGTGAAATACTGATGTTATGATTGAGAGATCGCCATTGATAAAAAACGCACTAACAACCTGAAACATTGCACGTGGATAAGGTATAATTTTTGGTGTTGACACTCCAATGACAGGTCGTCAAATCGCTCTGAACCATTAATGTTGTTCATTTTCTACATAGTCCAAGGCCAAATGCGAGTAAAGGGACTATCTTTTAGGATCTTACAGAAGCAGTAAAAGTGTTGTCCAGTTATTTGTATGACACTCCCACCCTCCAGAAATTCCTCTCAGAATGCAACTAGCCACAGAATGTATCAAGTTACTATATAAACAATCAAAGTTATCCCCATTGCTTGACCCACACATCGCTCAGCCACAGCATCACATGCAGACGATGATGATGTAGCTTACTGAGTGGCCTGATTCACAACATTACATTTCGGAACAGATTCAATATTTTAAATGAACATACACACATGCATGCATACATACATACATACATACATACATACATACATACATACATACATACATACATACATACATACATACATACATACATACATACATACATACATACATACATACATACATACATACATACATACATACATTAAGTTCTTTATGTTTATTCTTCCCCGCCCTGAAGGTGGGGAAGTGTGGGTGCTCATAGCATATATGTCGCCATTTTGGTTTATTTGAAATTTAATCCGACGTTGGTACAGAAACGAACCATACAAATCATGGCATGCTAATGTGTTACAGCATTAAGATATACTTCAAAATCACCTTTATGTTATTAACAGTAGCTAATTGCTGCGTCTGACTGTTTCTGGCAATTAACCGCCATTATTAAACCCTAAGTCGTATGGCCATTAACAGAAGCTAATTGCTGCGTCTGACCGTTTCTGGCAATTAACCGCCATTATTAAACCCTAAGTCGTATGGCCATTAACAGAAGCTAATTGCTGCGTCTGACTGTTTCTTGCAATTAACTGCCATTATTTAACCCTAAGTCGTATGGCCATTAACAGAAGCTAATTGCTTCGTCTGACTGTTTCTTGCAATTAACTGCCATTATTTAACCCTAAGTCGTATGGCCATTAACAGAAGCTAATTGCTGCGTCTGACCGTTTCTGGCAATTAACCGCCATTATTAAACCCTAAGTCGTATGGCCATTAACAGAAGCTAATTGCTTCGTCTGACTGTTTCTTGCAATTAACTGCCATTATTTAACCCTAAGTCGTATGGCCATTAACAGAAGCTAATTGCTTCGTCTGACTGTTTCTTGCAATTAACCGCCATTTTTAAACCATTCGTGTAATAATACCATGTCGTTTGTGCTTCCAGGACTATTTTTGCGATTTACACGGTGTATACAAAAGACGAAATGTAATCGTGAAATCGTCATTCTACCATGAATGTGTAATTAACTCGATTCTGATTGGTCAATCAGAGGCTATTAAATCACAATAAACCCCCTCTGATTGAAACAGCTGGTTTGACGGCCGCATATCAGCGGAAGCGAATATTCATAGAATAGTACTATTTTCAGTCATTGTCCGTAGGCATATTTAAATAATTCTATCTACAATTACAGGTTACAAAATGCACAGAAGCGGTTACTACAATATTCAAAGGATGTGTGGCAATACATTTCATGCAGAAAACACGATATAAATCTACAAAGGGAATGTATTTACGTTTTGGAGACAACAGAGAACTTGGAATTTGGGCGCTTTTCTATATACGACTGGGGCGTCATATCTTTTGCGTCACAGTGAGCGATATGACGTCATAATGGTGACGTGCGATGTAGAGCGAAAGCCTTGCAAAGCTTGCTTTGTTTTCTTTAGGGATGCCCATCTCATGTTAGCTTACCAAGTTGCCGTGCTTATATGCTTTCAATGCCTGTCATATGTTCGAGTGAAGTATTACGGTGTAAACAAACTGCTTGAGTATATACAGCGCCATATTTTGTTCGGTGGTTCCGTAATTCAGATGGATAACCCACGCAAAACACTGGACTCAACCCATGCCGCTTCACTCAGTATATTTGCTAACACTATTTAGAGTTCGCGTTTTGTTTAGTCATGGTAGAATGGAGATAAACATACTGTGTTTTCAATGTAGAGCTAGGTTATCTGTAGATTAAACTGCGCGTTCGGTTCCAAATTCAATTTGGTTGAAGCAAAATGATAAGTAGCATCAAGGCTGTAGTATTTTTCAACCGTTTAATGGAATTCAGCGCAGAGCCGTAGCGCTTACTGCTATCATATGTTTTGCGTCAGTGCTGTGTTCCACTGACCTCGATAATTTGTTGTATGAAGGCACAGATCTCTGTTATTTAGATCAGTTTTAGGCCCGAGTCACAGGTGCTCCAAATATGGACTGATTCGAAGAGACAAACGTTCAGTGCACAGCCATAGCACAAAATACACAAAGTTTACGGCAAACAACAAATGACAAAAGTTTAAAAACCAGTAAGTGTTATATTATTACTATCATATTTGGTATAATATGGAAGATCATTGAGGATAACATTTAATAATGTGGGAGACAAAATGCATCCTTGTCTTACCCCGATGTTGGACTTGAAAGATTGTTAAATGCCCTTGTCAGTTTTCACTTCATAAGATATATCATTATGTAGTGATGATATTATTTTTAATACATTTCCTGAGATTTTATTTGATAATAGCTTAGTAAAGGATAGCCAACTGAATCAAAGGCCTTTTGAAAGTCCACAAAGCAAGTGAATAGGTTTTTTGTGTCTTTTTTTTACAATTTGTAGAATATGTTATTGATTTAAGAACAAATTCATTATCTGCTGTTCGGCAGCCCCGTCTTAATGTAGACTGACAGTGGTCTTGTAAGTGATTTTCATTTCCCTGTGTTCCATTATTCTTTCATTAATAACCTTGCAAAATAGTTTATCCAAGCAGCGAATACCAATACCCTTGTAGTTACTTCTTTGAGACACACCCCTGTAGTTGTTAGGGTCAGTCTTATCACCCTAGTGACCACTATGTAAGACATCATCAAACAGTTTAGCCAACTGGTCTATC